AGACAGCTGAACTATTCTTATCAATGCAACCAAAGGACTGATGCAATGAATTGTACCTTGGACTGCAGATTTCTTCTCTTTTAAAATTTTTGGGGCTCATAGGGTGGAGAAAGGGGTTATCACAAATTGGGAGCACAACATCGGTTGGATTTCTGTTTTAAACGACGGGCATGGCCCTTATTTGCTGTATGATTGGCTGCTTACTGTCTTCTGCTTCCTCCCAGTTCTCTCCCTCTCTCTGCTACGTAAAGATCACTGCAGCTGAAGATGAGCCCAATCAACAGTAAGGAATGTTTGAGCTATGGATTGGAGTGGAGGACCAGGCATATGCATGTTTTGTCTCAAACATTCTGACTGTCGCGACAGGAAACTCGTGATTGGAAGAGAGGGTCCTGCAGAGGTGAGGCAACTTCCCCATCTCTGTTGAGCCAGCTTCCTGCTCCACCTTGAGAGTCATGCTCAGTCCCCCCTGAGTCATGTCTTGGAGGGCTCAGAGGGCTGGCTGTTCATGCACGAACCAAAACAACGTGAAAAATCTAGTTTACATGAGAGGCCGCAACAGGTTAACTATGAAAGGAAGTGGATCAGTCCCCTCTCTTCTCTTTTCCCTCTCTTTTTCTTTGTCTCACCACCTCAACTCTGGACCATCCATGCGGCGGGATAAACGTGGGATCTTTGTTCTCTCCCTCTCTTCTGCCTTTATTTGTCTCCCCCCTTGCTTTGTCTGGGTAAAGAGCAACTATCATATTCTACCCCATACTCCATACAGAAATTTGCTGTGGGAGTGGGGAGCTTGTGGAAGTGTGTAGTGGCTTGGTGGCCAGCAACTTTGAGAAGTAGTGTTGCTTATTCAGAGCTTATTGAAGTGTACTGCAAAAATTCAGGGCTTGTTAGCTCACACTTGTTGAAGTGTTTTGTAAAATTTAAGGGCTTGTTGGCCAACATCTTTTGAGTCTAAACAGTGGTTCCTTGCCAGAGTGAAAATGACTGTACACAGAAGTTCCCTGTCACCTGTCTGGGGTCTTTGTTCAGCATGACAAGAATTTACAATGAACATTGTGCTCCTGACTAGTGGATTGTGACACCTGCCTCCCCAGGACCCCCCAGTATCCCCCAAGGACTCCCAAATTCCCCTGGGACCCCACAAATCCTCTCAGTACCCCTCCAAATCCACTCTGGGATCCCCCAACCCCCCCTTGGGACCCCCAAAATCCACCCTGGGATCCCCCAAACCCCCCTCGGACCCTCCCAAACACCCCCTGGAACTCCTCCAAATCCAACTCAGGACTCCCAGTGTTCCCCAGACCCCCCAGGGATGCACACCAACAGCCCCTGTGGGAC